AAAAACAGGTTTGCTAAAAGTACTGACTTGTTTTAATAATTTTTATTTGAAAATATTTATTTTGTCTTTTATTTCATAAATGTATCCCTTTTTTAAATTAATTATAGTGTCACAAGACAAGGTACCAAAAATAAAGGATTTTTCAATCAAATGTAAGAATATCATTAAATAACCTGCGAGTGAATGAAATTATATATACATGGACAAAAATGGCATACAGCGTGAGAAAATTAAGACTCGCTTCAAACCAGTGGATCACATGTTGTTCAACATTTATGTTACTGGAAATAAAAATGATATTCAGACTTTTGTGCATAGCTTTTACTGTTTTTTGAGCAAATTAACAATTTGTAAAGGTATGTTTACTTGAATTGGAATTAGAGTAATACGTGTCAAAAATGAAGCATTTTCCTGGTTACAATTTAAGAGTATTTTCTTACAAAAATATTTACTTAAAAAAAAAAGATAGGTATATAAAAAATATATTGTTTGTTGTTTTGTAAAATATTTTTATGCTTTCCCTTACATTGTCTTATTTATCATTTCATTTAAACTATTTCCTTTGGCTCTTTTCAGCACTTTATTTTATTATCGTTACTCTTACTGTTCAAATGATACATGTCCATAAAATTTATTGTAAAAACACAAATCAACTGTAGCAGAGAAATTAATATCCTGTATGCATCGCGAATAGAATAAACAAATTAATAGATAAATGCCCAAATCTGTTTTTCTTAAGGAAATGAATCAAAATTACAATGATAACAGGATTTGAAGGGTCTGTCAGGAAGACATGGATGGCTATTAGAACATGTCATAAATAGGTGTTAAAAGACTTAAAACAGACTGATTGGATGCATGGGTGCCATTGATGTACCCAGCCTTCAAAAAGTGGGTGGCACCTTACTTGGTGAAATTATCTATATATTTGATGGGTTTGTCTATTTTGCCTTCGCAATCAAAATAATGTGCCATAAGTGTAGTGTGTTAAAGGTTATTGTTATGCCAGCTTCACACGCAACGTAACCACTTAATTGTGCAGTAAACCACGTGTCCAAATATCTGTGTCCATGATTCTCTATCCACACATCACAGTTTGAGTCTGCAGATAAATCACTATGATTTATTAGCTAGGTGTTGCTAAGCAATCAAAAGATTGTCCGTATAAGAGGTTTGATCAAAAAGTAACGGAAATTTCCAAATTGCACGTGTTGCATTGTTGAGCTGATTCTTTTTTTGTGTATTGGTAGTACTATTAGTGATGTACCTGTCAATATTTCGGATCAGAGTTTGTTTGATATTTTAAGAGCAGTGAGCATTCAAAATGTTAAAGAAAGCCTTTGACAATACTATATCACAGCCAAGAGTTTATCAAAGGTACAAATGTTTTCAGGAAGGCCGAGGAGACATCGAACATGAAACAAGATCTGGTCAAATGTGAAAGTCCTTCTAACCGTTTTCTTCAACTACACTGGAATAGTTCTTCATAAATTTTTACTGCCTGGACATACAGTTAACAAGGAGTACTAAAGTTTTGAGCAATTTGCCTGAGGCAATCAGGAGAAAACAACAAGAACATGAGAGACAACTAGTGGAGTTTACATCACGCCAACCAGCGCATACCGCTTTGCTTATCAAACAGTTCTTGGTAAAATACTCTTGTGATGCCGCAACCACCCTATTCTCTGGACATGGCCCCTGTAACTTTTTCCTATTTTCCAAACTCAGCGGGATATTCAAAACACAATATTTTTCAACAATGGGTAACCGCAAACCTGCTCAAAACGATACCTAAAGAGGTGTTCCACCAGTGTTTCTCAAACTGGAAATTATATTGGTATAAGTGTATAATATCACAGTGGCACTACTTTAAAAAGAATGTGATAAAAATTGAAGATTAACTAAATACTTGCTAAGAAAATTAACAACTCCCGTTACTTTTTGATCAAACCTCGTATACCGTCATCCTGTGAAAACATTCTACCAAAATATGTAAAAATTTACAGGGTGTCTCAAGATAATAAAACACTTGTTTTTCTTTTAAATAAAAAACAAACAAATACCTTGTGAAAGAGCTGAATAAATTATACAGGGTGTCCCAAAGCTCATGCAACAAAATTTGGTCACAGATTATTAAGACAAATTTAGGAGACCCGTATTTTTTATTTTTGCCAAGTGGCCCCCTTTTTCGAAGTTACAGCCCCCTGAAGTCCGCCCCTAAGAATAATCTTTTTTATCTCAGAATCCTGTTGTACGAGAATCACTAAATTTGGTACACCGGGGTTTTATCTCATGTGGAATCTGATAGTGCTACGTTTTTTGGCGGGGAACACCCTTAAGACAATTTTTCATGAGCCCCCTTGCCTTTGGAGCCAAAAAAAAAATTTGGTCGCATATTTAAATTTTTTAAAAATTATCAGCCCACTAGAAAGCCATTAAATTTAGAAACTTTTTGTCTCTTTATACTTTTTCGTAAAACGCAATGTTTTCGAGAAAAATGTCAAAATGTGATCGAATGCATATCGTGCCATTTTCCTCAAAAACATTGTGTTTTACGAAACAAATATAAAGAGACAAAAAAGTTTCTAAATTCAATGGCTTTCTAGTCAACTAATAATTAAAAAAAAAAATTTAAGTTGCAACCAAATTTTTCTAGTTCCAAAGACAAGGGGGCCCACAAAAAAGTGTCTTAAGGGGGTTTCTCGCCAAAAAGGGTAGCACTGTGAGATTCCACATGTCATAAAACCCCTGTGTACCAAATTTNTGGCCCCCTTTTTCGAAGTTACAGCCCCCTGAAGTCCGCCCCTAAGAATAATCTTTTTTTTTTATATCAGAACCCTGTTGTACGAGAATCACTAAATTTGGTACACCAGGGTTTTATCTCATGTGGAATCTGATAGTGCTACGTTTTTTGGCGGGGAACACCCTTAAGACAATTTTTCGTGGGTCCTCTTGTTTTTAGAGCCAAAAAATTTTGGTAGCATAATTAAATTTCTTAAAGATTATCAGTCCACTAGAAAGCCACTAAATTTAGAAACGAAAACGCAATGTTTTCGAGAAAAATGTCAAAATGTGATCGAATGTATATCGTGATTCACCATTTTCCTCAAAAAAATTTTTTTACAAATCAAATATGAAGAGACAAAAAAGTTTCTAAATTCAATGGCTTTCTAGTCAACTAATAATTTAAAAAAAAAATTTAATTTGAGATCAAATTTTTCTGGTTCCAAAGACAAGGGGGCCCACGAAAAAGTGTCTTAAGGGGGTTTTTCGCCAAAAAGCGTAGCACTTTCCACATGTCATAAAACCCCTGTGTACCAAATTTAGTGATTCTCGTACAACAGGGTTCTGATATAAAAAAGACTTCTTAGGGGCAGATTTCAGGGGGCTGTAACTCCGAAAAAGGGGGCCAGTTGGCGAAAAGAAAAAATATGGGTCCCCTAAATTTGTCTTAAGAATCTATGACCAAATTTTGTTGCATTAATTTCGGGACACCCTATATTTTACTTTTTCAATAAGTATCATGAAAGACAAGGAAGCTATGGTGGAAGAATTTAACATTTTCACGTGATGACCCTGTACTTAAATTTGCCATATATGTCAAGGCTGTTTTGTGTCAGTTATAATTAGAAATTGATTAGTATAGTAGAAACAAGATGTTACCATTCTGTGTTGCAAATTTGAACTTTTTTTGGATTTACACCTATTAACATTCCGTCCATACCGATTAAACAGTATAAAGCAAGAACTTGTACATTCTATGTAAATGCAAAAGTGGAATAGTAGCAATAACAAATATCTGAAGACAAAAAATATTCCATGGAAAAAATACTTTATTTTTTCGTATTCCAAGTAAAAAATGTATAATTTAATATCCTCCTTAAACATAATTTTTAATTTTTTATATTAATCTTGGACGTGGTAATAGCAAGTTGCAAAGAAAATTATAAAATTAATTACAAACTGTTAAAAGATAAACATAATA